ACGGTGGCATGCATATACCTCCCCACTCATCTCGTATTGTGTACGAAATTGAGTAGAAAAGTCCTCTACCATTTTGTAATGCTCGCAATAATCAGGTAGAGGACTTTTCTACTCTACCTGCTCGAGGTGGTACGGGTGCTCTGAGACACCCGGTATATATATATATAGAGTGGCATGAATATACGGCCCCACTCATCTCGTATTGTGTACTAAATTGAGTAGAAAAGTCCTCTACCATTTTGTAATGCTCGCAATAATCAGGTAGAGGACTTTTCTACTCTACCTGCTCGAAACGAGTGGGGCCGTATATTCATGACACCCTGTATATATATATATATATATATACAAAAAATATAATATATAATAGAATAGACACACGCGTGCGCGCGTGCGCATGTGTGATGTGTATGCATGTATGTATATATACATATCATATATGTCCAAACTGTACATACGTGTACTGTATATCTTTATTTATAAATACCTATATTTTTGAATTATTGATATACATATAAATATATATCAGGACTCAGCACGCATTATACGTTTTTTGCTCTGCTCGGATGTCGAGCAGCAATTTCACTTAAAATACAAATGAAATTTTCCTTTACTTTATTCTCTTATAGTAAAGTCTCTAACTTCTTTCTACAAATATTGTATTTGTTCTTTCAAATATTCTCTACCCCACTACAAATAAAGTTTGAAATTGTTATATGCAGCACATATTTGACTCGGCTCGCATGTTGAAGTGTCGAACGGCACTTAGATTGCGCGCGGGTGATAAGGTAAGGGGAATGGTGCTTTCCCATACCTCGTCGTCTTGCGTGCAATCCATTATGCCTGTTTTACAATAGGATTGCAAATCATAAGTCATAAGAAATTGGCCAATCACAGTTAAGTGTGAGGAGAATAACAGACTATGATTGGTTAATTTCTTAATAGCACCTTTGGTGTCAGATAAAATACAAGAGAACGGGCATGCCACTCAGGAAACTAAACAAGTTAGGTAAAAGAGTCGAAAAAGGTGTAATATCATGCACCCTAAATGACAATAAAATCGATTATGTTCACTGGGACGATCCTAACGAGTAGATCGTCTCCGATTGTTTCAGGCCTCGCATCAGGCAGGTCACAACGCTCACGATAACGAAATATTGTTTATTATCGAGGAGCTTCATGAAGCTACGAGTATATTATAAATTGAAATGGGATACACAGTCATTTTAGTTGACATCGAAATGTCGATGAACAACGTTTTTTTTCATAAGAACTTTGTGATATTTTACGCATTATATACTAATAATCATAACATAACTTAATATGTCTGAGAAGAAAAACCTCGAAAAGTGGCGACTGGTGGAAGAACTGTACGCCCCGACGAAACAAAATTTTTCACGCAGACATGTCATAGTTTACAGATACGATAACCTGTGGCAGGCTGATATGGTCGAGATGCGCCCTTACACACAATTCAACAAAGGTTATCACTACATTCTCACCGTTATCGATGTGTTGAGTAAGCACGCATAGGTAAGTATGTATCACTGAAAACCAAGAATGAAAATGAGATGGCTATAGCGGTGGTAAAGATAATGGAAGATGTCCGAAAAATTTGCAAACCGATATGGGAAAAGAATTTTACAACGAAAACGTCCAAAACTCTTGAAAAAACACAACATAAATCATTATTCAACATGTTCCATAATGAAGACAACTGACGTGAATTGAACGGTTCGATCATACATTGAAAAATGATATGTGGAAACAATTTACGTGCAATGGAAATTATAAATGGATCGACTTGCTTCCATGTCTCGTATCTGAATACAATGCGCGAAAGCATCGAACTATCGGTATGCAGCCCATCGATGTGACTCCCACGATTGCTGACAAACTTTTAAACATGGTGTACAGAAGCGTAAAGGTCGTCGCATTCCCGCGATTCAAAGTGAATAACTCGAAATGTGTGAACAAATTCAAAGCGATCTTTAAGAAAGGTTACACGCCAAATTGGACCACGGAGGTGTTTAGAACTGTCGAAGTACAAAAAATTAATTCTGTGACGTATCTACTAGAAGATTACCGCGGAAAATCAATCACCGGAGGATTCTATGAGTATGAGTTGCATCACGTCATTAATCCTGACGTATATCTAGTTGAAAAGATGTTACGTAAAAAAGGAGACAAGGTTTACATGAAATGGCTCGGATATGATAATTCGCACAACTCTTGGGTACATAAGGACAGTGTGTTATAAAAATAAAATTTATTTATACAAATTGTATAATTATTTTTTTGCCCTATGTAAATATGTATTTAAATATAAACGCATTATACATGTTATACACATTACACATATTACAAATGCATACGTACACATGTACATATTAGGTGTACAACTTTGCTTCCGCTATTTTCCTAAATGGTTTTAGCAGTAAGTGGTGATCGAAATAAATACATCATAGACGTCATACAATAAACTTAGGCATCTGTCAACATAATCCCATAGAAACATTAGTCGTTTTGTGTCTGCATCATAAAGTTATTTTCAATTGAAAATGTCAGTTTACGAGTCAAATTCTCGTCATTTATGGGAGGTTTTAATTTTCTGCTTCAATATGAAGAAATCTGCGGCTAAGGCTCATCGAATGCTCTCAAATACTTGTGGTGAGACCACTATTAGTGAAAGAACGTCGTGAGTGTTTCAACGCTTCAAGAACGGTGATTTTGACGAAGACCGGCATAGCGGTGGAAGAGAGAAGGTTTTCGAAAATGCAGAATTGGAGGCATTCCTTAACTCGTGTCAAAATCAAGAAGAATTGGCACGATCATTAGGAGTGACTCAACAAGCCATTTCAAAACGCCTCAAAGTCATGGGAATGATTCAGAAGCAAGAAAATTAGGTGCCATACGAGTTGAAGCCGAGAGATGTTTGTTTGCTTGTGAACAGCTGCTTGAAAGGCAAAGACAGAAGGGATTTCCGCATCGAATTGTGACTGGGGACGAAAAATGGGTTCATTATGATAACCCCAAGCGCAGAAAATCATGAGGAGTTCCCGGCCATGCTTCCACGTCGACGGCCAAATCAAATATTCATGGCTCCAAGGTCATGCTCTGTATTTGGTGGGACCAGCTCGGTAGTGTATTATGAGCTGTTAAAACCGACTGAAACAATCACAGGCGAAACAATCGCTATCGAACGCAATTGATGCATTTGAGCCGAGCATTGAAAGACAAACGGCCGCAATACAACGAGAGATACTATAAACTGATTTTGCAGCATGACAATACTCGACCCCATGTTGCGAAAGTGGTCAAGACATACTTGGAAACGTTGAAATGGGAAGTCCTACCCCACGTATTCTCCAGACGTTACTCTCTCTGACTATCACTTGTTTCGATCAATGGCACACGGCCTGGCTGACTAGCACTTCCGGTCTTATGAAGAAGTAAAAAATTGAATCGATTCAATCGATTCAAAAGATGACCAGTGAATCGCCTCAAAAGATGACCAGTTTTTTCGACGTGGGATTCGTACGCTGCCCGAAAGATGGGAGAAAGTAGTGGCCAGCCGGACAATACTTTGAATCATAAATGTATAACCAGTTTTTTACAATAAAGCCTCGAATTTCGGAAAAAAAACGACGGAAGCAAAGTTGTACACCTAATACATATATACATATGTACATACGTACATACATACTTATGTACATACACGTATAAACATACATATATACTATATATGTTATACATATACGTACGTAATATATATATTAAACATATTATACATCATATACAAATGTGTTTTTATTAAAAGAAATACATAAATACAAAAAAAAGGAAATGAATTTATAATAATGTTTTATAATATCCCCATGGTAGTATGTCGGTAGAATCTGGAACAATGTACCGCTTATCGTCGTATGGATGGTCAGACGGCGAGACGGTTTTCGTTTCGGATATGGTGTATGCTTCGTGCAATTTCGATCTTATGCACGACTGCCTGTGCGTCATTTCAACTTCGTCATTGAAACACGTATAATCATTGAACTTTATGGATTTCGCTACAACATTGCTTTTGATGTCTTTTGCCTTTTTAGTATCTTTTTTGCCGTCGACGCGCAAGTACATTTTCGCTCTAAGCTCGACAAATTTAGTCATGATCGCTCCGTTGTTTTCGTCTTTCATTAAACCGGAAACTTTTTTATTTACTAGCAGAATGTCGTAAGCATTGTCGATTGCGTAATTGTTCGTATCGAATCTATTGATATCGTGTTTCATAATATAGACATTATCGCACTCGATGTGGTAAATAAGGCTGTCCATGTCGGAATACATAATTTTATATTTTTTAAGAAAGAGCGGTAACATGTACTTGTAGTGAAATTCGTAAAAACTCATTTTAGATATATCGAAGATGCACATATCCACGTATATCGGTTTGTCGAACTTCACCTCGAGTTTCCGCATTTCTATCGTGCAGGTTCTCGGAAAAAACGCTTCTACTGTGAAAATTTGGTTTCGCGATTATTGCCTCTACACTGTATCTCCCATCCCAACGCATTACGAGTCGCACATTAACATGGTTATGCACATTCTCCATGGTCTTGCTGAAAACCGCGTTGTTCATTAATTTGAATAAGTTTTTCTCGAAGTTATTCTTTGCTAAAGTTCTAAAATTTATATTGAGTTCAATCACTCGCGAAGCGATGTAGATTGCATGAATTACAGTATACGATAGATCTTTGTAATGCAGAGATCGTGACAAGTACATTGCTGCAGATTGCAATAATGTACAAGGGCAAGTCAATAAATTCTTAGAAAATGTCAGAAGGCACTCGCAGTGTCACATTTCTTTTTGACAAGTAGCATCTTTCAGCTGATTACTGTCAAATTTTGAGCGGAATTCATCGCGTGGTTAATTTTTGTAGACGATTAAAGTGAACAACTTTTGTATTTTTCGCAAAATAGCAAAAAACAAGCAATGATCAAACATCTACATATGAAAGATTTAACGCCGAAAGAAATCAAAACCAAATTGGATAATGTTCATAGCACATCTGCACCAGCATTTGCGACTGTATTGGGTGAATGAATTTAAATGTGATCGTACATCCACATGTGATGCATCTCCTGTTTGGGACATCCAATTGAGGCTGCTAGAAATCATCAATAAAGTCCACGATATTGTTTTGACTAATCGATGAGTGAAAGTGCGCGAGCTTGTTGAGGTCATAGGCATATCACATGGCACAGTGATTTTAATTTTGCGCGAACAATTGGGTATGAAAAAGCTATCAGCAAGATGGATGTCGCGTTTGCTCACTGTGGACCATAAGCGCGATCATGTGACGATTTCAAAACAATGTTTGGAGATGTTTCAACATAATCCAGATGAATTTCTGCGTTGATTCATTACTGTGGACGAAACATGAATCATTACTTCACATCCCAGACATAGGAACAGTCAAAACAATGGACTTTACTGAATGAATCAGCTCCGAAGAAGGCGAAGACCGTGAAGTCGGCCGGAAAGGTGATGGCCACAGTTTTTTGGGATGCACGTGGTATAATTTATGTCGATTATTTTCCGTCGAAGCAAACGATCAATGGCGATTACTACGTAGCCTTATTGGACCGTTTCAACAACATTTTAAAGAAAAAATGTCCCCATTTGGCGAAGAAGAAAGTGCTCTTCCATCAAGAGAATGCACGGGTTCACACGTGCCCAGCACCGATGGCCAAATTCAACGAATTCCGCTACGAATTGCTTCCCTATCCAGCATATTCGCCAGATTTAGCCCCCTGCGACTATTTCTTGTTTTCAAACCTAAAGAAATGATTCGGAGGAAAGAGATTCACCACCAGAGAGCAGCTCATTGCCGAAACAGGCTTATTTTGAAGGGTTAGACAAATCATATAATATTATTCGGGCGGCTTGAAAAAGTTGGAGAATCGTTGGATCAAGTGTATCGAGCTGAAAGGAGAGTATGTTGAAAAATAAAAATTAATCGATCAAAAAAAATGTTTTAGTATGTTTTTTTAAAAACATTACCTCGTATGACGTAACGCTTTTTATCATACAATGTAGCGAGGAGCTTCTCTTCTCGCTTGCCGGATAGTTTCTCGCACGTTGGACAAAACGTAGATCGGAGTGCGCATGGAGATATTCCAAGTCTCGAGAACGTAACCCATTGGTGAATCTAACGCGACATTCATAACGCCAAAATTGTCTACGTCGTCGACCCAACGAAAATCAGCATACGGCAATTTGTACATTTCCCAACCGTACAGGTTGTTGACGTCAAAGTACATCAGGTATGTTGATGGTTTCGATGGATCGTACGACTCCACATACTTATTATTGACCTGCGCATATGTGTTTGAACATTGACTCAGACCGCCACGCATACCACGTTCGATGAATAGAATTATGTCAACGTCGGTAAGAATTTCGAAATTGACGCGAGTATGTTTCAACATCACGTCCCACGTACAATCCGATAGTGTATAATAACATACGGGATCGAATCCATAACTAGTGATGCAATTATCCAGAAAATTCTCAAATATATCGGTCAACACATATGTTTTTAAATATAGATCACTGTATTCACCGAGTGTTCGGATGGAGAACTGCTGCCATACATTCACAGCGTGCGCGTAATCGCTCTCGGATATCACCTAGCGAGCTATAAAATAATTCGCGCGATGGTAACTCAGTTTCCTTCAACTTTTTGATACAGTCAACGTACTCGTATGGAAATATATCTTTACGTGTGAGAAGATCGAAATTCTCCGCGCTGAGATTAAAAAATTCTGACCGCGTAATTTTCAATTTATTTTTATCGAGATACGACGCTAATTTTTCTAAACTGGTACTGCGAAATTTAAATGAATCTAAAACATATTTTTACACAAATTTTCTTTTGATCATTTTTGGTGTTATCGACTATTTTGTAAATGAAATGTATTTTTTTTAGTTATGAGAAGTAGTTCTATACACGTGGTAGCTATATTCTTGATAATATGCATTGTATCTCGATAAATTATGAAAGACTACGGGAATGCAATATGAATCTTTGTAATTCAAGTTACAGTTTGAATGCGCGGAGTCTCTGTATCGATCTATCAAGCGGCAATAGTCGCGTAACCACGTGTCATTCGGCAGTTTTTTCGCACACATTGCAGTGCGTGATGCTGTTAAATTTTTGCCAATCATCTCGCGTAAAATCTGCTATGGATACATTGGTCAAA